CTAGTATCAACGATTGTTATTTCATTTGTACACATTTGTAATCCTAATTAAAACATTTGTACACCTCCCCAAACTCTGGAAAATCAATTTTCCTTTGGCGGTACTGGGGTAACGTTACGCCAGTACCGCCATCGGCTTGTATTGGTCCCACTGACTCCAAATTAGTATCAACGATTGTTATTTCATTTGTACACATTTGTAATCCTAATTAAAACATTTGTACACCTCCCAAAACTCTGGAAAATCAATTTTCCTTTGGCGGTACTGGGGTAACGTTACGCCAGTACCGCCATCGGCATGTATTGCTCTCACCGACTCCAAACTAGTATCAACGATTGTTATTTCATTTGTACACATTTTTAATCCTAATTTTAAAATGTGTGTAACTGTTACACCAATTCCATGGTTATTATACAATCGTTTTATCGACTCTAAAATGGTTCCAAAAATGGTCAGAAGCAATTTTATAAAAATTAAGGGTACGAGAAAAAATATTTTTTTATATTACAATATAAACACAAAATTTCTTAAGTAAATATTTTATAAAATATGTACTATCATTACATTTCATAATAATAATGGTAATGATTAATGACTATTAGATAAATAGTAAATAGAGTATTAACTATTCGAATATTAATAGTATTAACTACCTATTAACTATTCGAGTCTACTACTGTGTTCTTAATCATAATAATAGCTATTTATTAGTATTATTTCTCAGTTTCTCAAATAATGGTGATTTTGTACATAGTACATTGCCTTTGATCAAACGCATATGGTCATAACTCATAGGTACTATGGCGTATTACATACCCACGGTTTTTAGAACAATTTTTAAATAATTATTATAATATAATATTATTATGCATATTATGCTATTCAAGCCTGTCATTGCTTTGACAAAAATATATAACAATTATAATTTGTATAGAACTTTTAACAATAATTGTGAAATAATAATGTGACGATGTATGTGACAGGGCATACTTAAGTATAGGTGCAGTGTTATTTTAATAATATAGTCAAGCAGCAGAAGCGATGGCATGCGATAGCGTATCGTAAAGAATCTGAATAAATGTAGATACCTACCTTTATAACATACAACTCACAAGAGTACAAGATATTATATACAATACATACACAAATAAAACAATAACTAATAAAGGTGATTACGTGTATATGACCAGTTATTGCTATTATGATAATATGTGATGTGTTATTTTGATCGTATTTTACAGACTTTATTGGGAAAACACGCTATGGCAATTGCAGCATTTCGGAATTCCTGGGCGATGTAGAATGATACAGCTTGTAGGTATACAAAATAATAACATAATATATATTATATATATATAAATAATTATTATTAGCTAATAGCTAATAGCTAATTATAAAATTATCCCTCAATAGTTTATGATTAATACTAATATTAGTTTATAATTGGACCGAGAAAATTTCGTCATTTTACCATCACGTCTAGAACCGAATGGTTGTAACGTGTATTTTTATTGTTTAACAATATCAAAGGAGTTTATAGTTTATTTTAAACACAACTACCAGAGGTAAGTAAAAATTACATTTGTTTATTAATTTGATATTATTCATTACTGTAAGTTAATTTACTGTTGGATAAAATACATGACTTGCCTACCTATTATTCGGAGGCCATCATTCTACAAAAAAAAAAAAAAAATCGAACGTAAAAACATGGTTTTTTTTTTGCCTAATAGTACTCGATGTTCATCGATCGAAGAAACATAGTTTTGATAACAAAATAAACATGATAATATTGTACTCATTGCACTAAAAATCTTTGAAATACATTTTAATTAAAATTTTTTTTTATCGTACAAGTTGGCAAATTGAATACTCATGAAACTATTTTTAGTAAAAAATAATTATTCTTAAGTAAACATTATAAGTCAAACCCGATTTTCTATCGTGAGCGTATGCAGTTTATAAATATCCAAGTATTATGCATAAGAAAATTATACATTTCCTATGAATATTGTTGTATTTTTTTGATTTAACATGATATTGATGTTAACAAATTCCTAGTTCTATTGGTACTGACTACCATTGGTGGAACTAGGGGGGGTGGCCGAGGATTGATCCCCGGGCGTAACATTTTAGAGGGCGTAATTTTTTTGTGGGTCTTTTTTTAATGTTTGGTGTTAGAAGTTAAGAAAATATTTTTATTTCACATAATTTGTTTATGATGTGGTGATGGCCACGTTCGAAGGAATGAAAACAAATAATAAAATCATACATGGCGTAAAATAATTAATCGTCATTCTATTAATAGAGTACGTAGCGGCGCGATCGGCATACGTCGACGGTTGACAGTACATATAGACCATAGAGACAAACTAATAATAAAAATTAAATATAAACGTAATATAAGTATTATCAATAATAAATATGAACATTATCGTCGACGACAACGACTCTGTCAAAAATAGTACGAAATTAATTACCACAGTTATAAATGATTCTGTTATTTGTCATTTGGAACCGAACTTCTCAGCGCATGAAGTAGCCAGTGCCCAGTAGGTATAGACATCATTATAGTTATCCAACGGTAAGATTATGAATAGATTCGTATAAGTATATTAAATATAATGGTATATTCTACAATTATTAAGATTCTGAGTGAAAGAGTGAAACTAGGCATTTATTGATAATGTATTTTCGTTAAAATTTCTGATACGTATACAATAACTTTTATAAGATTATCAATCAACGTACGATGTATTAAAAATTATGTTAATAATTTATAATATTTATCAAGATGGTTATACATTTATTTATATTTAAAAAAAAGATTTGATTTTAAATATCTATTTGATTTAGATTTATTTTTCTTTTATAAATTGTTTAATTTAATTAAACTTTTTATTGGCCTTAACTGTGTACTTTTATCAGAATAATCAATAAAATATTTTATATTTCACCATAAAGATCTATTGTAATTTATTGAGCCACATAGAACCAAATTAGCAAAAGTGTTTTTATATAGGACAGGCAATTAACGTTTTAATTAAATTGGGAATTTTGAAAAGGGCCCATCTCGAGTTTTTATCAAAATAGATTTTTCCGCGTTTTTTTCATTTACACATAATTTTAATATTCTGATACGAGCCCTTTTCGAAATTCCCAATTCAATTATTTTTCAACTTTTTTTTTTCTTATTAAATCCACTCTTAGGAAAATAATAAACTCACTTGTTATGTATAAATTCTTGCCTTTTAAACCATCTATGAAACATTTACCCAATTAACATTGGTTAGGTTTTAATGTGGGTAAGCCACTCAAATTTCGAAAAATATTTAGGTATATGCTATTGCAGGTGGGTTAGTCCGACTCATTAAAAATTTGTTAATCACTTTAATAGTTTAATCTGAATCTTTTTTTATATAGTATAAACTTGGTTACACCACATCACCACAGTCCACAGATTAGATTAATTATAATACAATATTATTATTGTTTATATTATTGTCTTCATCTGAAAGCAGTGCTGTAAAAAATACTTTTTAAAAGTATTTAAGAATTTCCCAAATACTCTTTAAATAAAGTAATTAAAATACCATCCAAATACTATAAATAGTATTTTAAATAATCTTCAAATACAAAAAAAAAATTGAGCTGTTTACGGACAATTTCAAATTTCAATTTTTTAGTTTTTTTTTTCTATAAATATCAATAATTCAACAATTATTCTACAAAAATATTTATAAAAAATTGTTATCATCTAATTAAATAAATCAACATTTTATTTAATTTTCATATAAAATACTCCGAATCTTAGATCAAGATGGGAAGAAAACCGAAGGTAGAAGGTACAATAATTAATAACGAAATAATTAAATACAAGGATGAAATTATTTGCCAAAATAGTCGAAGTAAGTACACTAATTTACAAAAAAATAAATAATATATATAAAGACCTTCCTAGAATACGTACTTAACTTTTGTGTTAATTTCACATAAAACTGCCAGTCACCTTACAGTAACTCCATATCAAACCTTTAGTATTAGTTATATTTTATTCTTCTATTACTTACTTCAGAAATAGCTGGTATAAATGCGGACGTTTGGAAAAAAATTGCGGACAATCTCAGTGTAGGTCTTATGGATAAAGTAACGCCTGGATCAGTGCGTATGCGAGTATGCCGTGATGGAGGAAAACTTCTTGAAGAATTAGGTTTGGTACCATCATCGAAATCTACCAAAATTGTTGGCCACTTTAATACCAGTTCAGAATCAATTTTAAAGTAAAATTTGTTTGCATTCCTTATTAATAAAAATATCGTGTATTTCATATTAATTTTTTATACTAATAAAAATGTATAGGTCTAATATACAAAACGATCCGTCAAGTGATGAAAGTGACTGTAGTTCATCGAAGGAAAAAATAACTTTTGATATAACGTTCTCAGTCGAAGAATGGGAATTAATAAAACCCAGAGAAAAAGTTTACAATGAAAAAAAAAGAGGCCCAAGAACGTATACAATGCTAACCCCATACGAGTGGAGTAATGTTATCCAAGACCACTTCTTTTTGCACACTCGGCTGCCTTGTTGCTTATCATTCACAAAACCTTACGTGAGCTTCTATGGAATGACCTTTGTAAATGTCAATGGAAAATGTTCAGACTGTCACTCCATGTTCTATGGAACAATTGATGCAGTTCCAGCAACAAATGCGAGGTCAGTATAATATATTGTTTTATTAAATGTGTACACGATTCATAGTAGAAACATTGCTTTGAATTTTAGTTTTGAGGATGTTTTCTGATACCAAAATAAATCAAGTTAGTACTATTGGGAGGGAACAATTTAAAATTCTTATTACTTTTTAAAATTATTGAGAAAAAATAATGAAGGAATAACGTTAATTCTCATATGCAATGATTTATTTGTAATTTGTACATATTAAATGGAAACATCTAACAATTATAATTTTTCATATTGTATTTTAAATTAGGGTTATAATGAAGAGCAGTTTTCATGGAGATTTCCGTAAGATGCATAACCATAAACGAAGATTAATTGGATCACGGAAAGAAAGAGTTATGAATACAATGATGAATAAAAAAACTGATCCTTCTGTATTTGTTCGAGAAGAAGCTGCTGTACTTATGAGAGAAGGTAATTTGCTATATTTATTATTTTATATTTTATTATTTTTATGTCTTAAAAATCATATAGGAGTGTTATTAAAATATTATGAATACTTTAAAGTTCTAAGAAATCCTATTTTAGATCCTGAGTGAAACAATAAATGTATTGATTTTACAATGATGTTTGTGTATTTATTTTGTTTTGTGTCTGTCATCACCTTTTAGGACAGTAAAAGTGCTTGGATTTTCTTCAACAGTAACTTTTCTGATAGGAAAGTGCATCTAGTTAGTACTTTGGGGGGCCGAAATTTCCCAGTAGTTTCAGTATCTAGATTCTAGAATCTAGATTGTACATCGAATAAACATTTATTATTAAATTTCTATTTTTTTAATCAAATTTATTTTTTTTATCAAAAAGATTTTACCAAGATTTTTATCAAATTTAGTTTTTTTATCACATTTAAATCTTACGAAGATTTTTTTATTCTATTTAGATTTGTTTTATTTTATTTACTATACATTTTTTTATCAAGATCTTTACCAAATTTAGATTTTTTAAAGATTTATTTATCAAAATAAATATAGATTTTTTTATGAAAAAATACATTTTTTATGAAATTTGTTTTTTTTATCATATCTAGAATCTCAATTGTATATCAATTATACATTTTTCTTTCAAATTTATATTTTTTTTATCAAATTTTTTTTTTTATCAAAAAAATTTTACCAAGATTTTTATTAAATTTAGTTTTTTTATCACATTTAAATCTTATAAAGATTTTTTTATTCTATTTAGAGTTGTTTTATTTTATTTACTATACATTTTTTTATCAAGATCTTTACCAAATTTAGATTTTTTAAAGATTTTTTAATCAAATTTTTTTTTTTTATCAAAAAAATTTTACCAAGATTTTTATTAAATTTAGTTTTTTTATCACATTTAAATCTTACGAAGATTTTTTTATTCTATTTAGAGTTGTTTTATTTTATTTAGTATACATTTTTTTATCAAGATCTTTACCAAATTTAGATTTTTTAAAGATTTATTTATCAAAATAAATATAGATTTTTTTATGAAATAATACATTTTTTATGAAATTTGTTTTTTTTATCATATCTAGAATCTCAATTGTATATCAATTATACATTTTTCTTTCAAATTTAAATTTTTTTTATCAAATTTTTTTTTTTATCAAAAAAATTTTACCAAGATTTTTATTAAATTTAGTTTTTTTATCACATTTAAATCTTATAAAGATTTTTTTATTCTATTTAGAGTTGTTTTATTTTATTTACTATACATTTTTTTATCAAGATCTTTACCAAATTTAGATTTTTTAAAGATTTTTTTATGAAATAATACTTTTTTTTATCAAATTTATTTTTTTTATCAAAAAAATTTTACCAAGATTTTTATTAAATTTAGTTTTTTTATCACATTTTAATCTTACGAAGATTTTTTTTATTCTATTTAGAGTTGTTTTATTTTATTTACTACACATTTTTTTATCAAGATCTTTACCAAATTTAGATTTTTTAAAGATTTATTTATCAAAATAAATATAGATTTTTTTATGAAATAATACATTTTTTATCAAATTTGTTTTTTTTTTATCATATCTAGAATCTTAATTGTATATCAATTTTACATTTTTCTTTCAAATTTATATTTTTTTTATCAAATTTATTTTTTTATTTATTTTTTGTTTAATTTAATTTAATTTTATATACATTTTTGTATCAAATAAAGAATTTTTTCAAGATTTTTACCAAATTTAGATATTTTAAAGATTTCTTCGTCATATATAGATTTTTAATCAAATATTGATTTTTTTTATAAATTAATTTTAAATAAAAAAAGTTAAATTGAAAAAAGAAGATCTATAATGAATAGAACAATAAAAAATATAAAATCTAAGTGTAGTTATAACTGCAATAAATTTACTAATATTTGCGAACTATTAGCTTAATTTTGAAATTGGTTCGGATCGTACCATATTAAATGGGTGGGTCAAGTTCATGGACTTCATGTAGATACTTACTACATAGTAGGTACATAGCTTATAATTTTAAAGATCTATATTTGCCATAAACTCATTTTACCTCAAATCCCATAAAAATATTTTCATTATCTTCCCTAAATTTTAATTACACTGTCCAATATTTATGATATTTCAAAAAGTTGAATTCAAATTTATTGTATATGAAACAAAAATATCTTTTAGGTGATGCCGTTCCTGCCCAAATACCTAACTTAGGAGCGTTGCGAGTTGCAAAGCATAGAGCACTGGTTAGTAATAGGCTTCATTCAGATCCAATGGTTGCCGTGAGAAAAATGAAATATCTTGGGGAATTTCCTAATACTATTCATGACATTGGTTCTGATAAAACATTCGTTCATTTTTGGAGTAACTTACAGCTTCAAATTTATAAAGAGTATTCAAGAAAAGAAAGGATCATAACTGTTTCATTCGATGCTACAGGTGGTTGTGTTAGAAAAATTAAAAGAAACGAAAATATACGTAGTGGCCCAATTTTTTTGTATGAAGGTGTCATGAGTATTGATCAACATACCTTTACTGTTATGTCTATGCTCTCTGAACGCCATGACACCTTATCTATTAGTATATGGCTTAACAGATGGCTTCGTTGTGGAGTTAAATCCCCAAAAATCGTTATATGTGACCAGTCTCTTGCCTTAATGTCAGCTTTAACTCAAACATTTACTCAGTATAAATCCCTTGAGCAGTACCTTCAAGTTTGTTTTTCGATTGTAGTTTTAAAAAAAGAAGAAGAGCTTCCGACCTGCTTCATAAGAAACGATGTCAATCATTTTGTACACCTTATATCGCAATGGAAAGAAGTTAAAGACTCCAAATTTGTCCGAACAAAAGAGTTAATTATAAGGGGGATGGGACTCCTTATTCTTTGCACATGTATATATGAAGCTGAGCAAATATTAGAAGCGATTTTTACGATAATTTTAAGTAAATTTGATGGTCCTATTTTATCAGAAATGTGTAATTCAGTTGCTGATACTCCGTGTGCTGAAAAAAAGAAATTCCTTTCTAAACTTATTTCAAATAAAAAACACTATTTGGAATTTGTAGAACAAATAGATACTGAATACCACCAAACAAATAATGATGGGAATGATAATGATAATAATGCAAATTCTACTTCTTTGGATTCCTTTAAACAATGGGCTCAGTCAATAGCAGACAAAGCTAGAGAAAACACCAAAGATATAATTGGTCAGTTTGATAATGCTCAGTTTCTTCCAAGCTTAGAGTCGTGTATAGTAAATACCATGAAATTCTTCCCATGTTGGTCTGGAATTATGAGAGATAATTTTGGATATGGAACAGAGACTGCTTCTAGTAGTAGAATAGAAAGTAACTTCAATCAATTGAAGAATAGACTTTTTAAAAATGAATCATTACCCTTAAGAATAGACACGTTCTTGGAAAAATTATTAATTTATTATAAAGGTGACCATTTGTTGATACAAGGAGATAATCAAGATTGGGAAGATGGGATTTCAACTGAAAATGAATCAGTCCATAATCCAGACATGCTCAATAGATCAACTGTTGGATATAAAAATAATTGTGTTCAATATACTCCACCCGCAGAACAAGAAGTGATGATTGATAGGTATTATGTAGATGATAATACATCATTACAATATGACATTCAAGAATGGGAAGACAGTATTTTATTTGAAAATGAACCTGATACTTTTCCCAAAACCAATAATAACCTAGTAAATGATAATGTATTTCAAGACAATCAAAGAACTGTACAAAACGGTAGCAGTAATGAGGATGAAGATGAAATTATAAGGATCTCTAAAAATATAAATGTATCTGATATCGTAATCGATGAAAGCAATAATATTGAAAAATTAAACAAAAATTATAATTATAAGCAGAAAATTGTACAAGAAACATTATTAAATGAAAAAGAAACATGTAGTGCTTCTACGAATGAAGATTATTCTATGGGATTACACAAATGCATGTTTTGTAAAAAATCCGTTCCTATCTTCGGATGTTCAGTTTCAACACCAGATGGTAATAATGATTATGGACTGAAAAGAATATGTAAGGACTGTGATAGAAAAAATTCAGATATGACTGAAAATAATGCAACAGAAGTGTGGAAAAAAAAACCGTTATCAAAAAAAAAGAGATCTTCTCATTCATATCTTGTTTCACAAGCAGGTTTCGAGCATGTTGATTTTAATAAAAAAGGTTCAATCACTCCAATATTTTTATTAAAGAATGGAAATAGTTTTACTAACAGAGCGATTATGGTTCCCGGAGTAGGAAAAATGTTATTGAATAACACTTGTTCGGTAGATTCAGTGTTATCAATTTTAGCATCATCAGCTGCCGACAGTTTAAAATTTAAAAATGCCATTATAAATAAGTCATCATCGAATACAACTGCTAAGTTCATATTAAAGATGATTTCACAAAATGATTTCAAGGATATTTACTACGAACGATTATTACTTGTTTTACAGTTTTTTGGTGATAAAATAAAATATCTAGTTGGTGGGCTAAAATCCATTGATATGACTAACACAGCAGCATCAATGGCTAGTAAATTAATGGCAGACATGCCATCATTTATCAGAAATAGCAATTGCAAAAATAACTTTTGTTCTGTAAAATATATTGAGACAACTTCTGCTATGATTTCATTGAATAAATTCAACGACGAGTTTTCAATCCAAGAAGAATTATATGAATATCTCAGAGAATCAGAAGAGAAATGTGTTTACTGTGGACATCAAAGGATATCTTCAATTCATCCTACTACGCATATTTTGGTTGAGCTGATTTCACTGCCCGAAGGTAAATATAAAATATTATAAAAATGTATGATCTATTTTTTTTTCATGTCGTGCAAAAATACATATAATACATTCTCCTTTAGATTTAGAAGCATCGACCAGTACAGTTAATATTGAGAAATCTTCGGTAACATTGGTGAGACAAAACTTTGCGAAACCAAACAATATAAAATTATGTGAAATAGAGAAGAACCTAACAGCTATTTCGGAAATGTATTACCTACGAGGGGTAGTTAATTTTCATGGTGGTGAACGTCGAGGGCTCCGGTCATCCACAGGCCACTATACTGCTAGCGCTTTTCGAAGCAACGGGAAATGGGAAACCTATGACGATATGAAAACAACAGTTCAATCCACTAAACAAGAATACGATGTAGAATTTTTAATTTATACAATTTGATGTTTTTAATTTTTAACTTTATTTTTTCAACCAATTTAAATTATTAAATATTACAAAAAATATTCAAAAGGAATTGAATAAAATAGGTAAGTGTAATATAATTTATTAACAAAGGCCAATGTTAACTAAAATTATTTGAATAATTATAATTTTATTTTAAAAAATAAATTAAACACTTTTAAAGGTATTATTAAATGGTATTACATATAATTTTCCTGTTATGCAAATCGTTACAAATAAAATAATAATAATGGGTACAATTAGGATTACAAATATAATAAGGATAGTACTTATTTTATAAAATATATATAATAGGTATCATAGGCGTGCGCACGGGGTATGCAGTAGTGCTGAGCACAAAATCCAGATCAATCCATATCCGGATTGAGACAGATGTTACAATCCGTTTAATCCGGATTTAATATACCAATCCGGATTATGATACAAATTATTACAAAACGATTTGAAAAAAAAATTTTCATATTACACTATTACCTTAATTTAAATAGATTGATGATTTTAAATAACATGTAAATATGGTTTTGTTCCCGGCTAATGACTATAATGTCGAAGTCGTAATAAATTAATTTAAAAAAAAAAATTAATAATAATAATATAATATAATTTTTTTTCGTTGGTTTTTTCCAAAAAAAAAATGAGATCGTATATTCGTATTAATTAGGTAGATATAATAATGAAAAAAAAAATCAGATTATCTCAAAAACAATGAAGCCGAATCGGATCCAAAATTCGGATTGAATAATTGTAATCCATAATCCGGATTGGTCAAAATAATGCTCAGCACTAAATAATGATCAGCACAACACTGGACTCTCAGTTGCTAATTTCAACTGGTGGTAAATGATATAGCGATATGGAGTACTGTGAGCGATTCTCAATAATTTAAGGCCTTTTAATAACGCTGCGTGACCTTATTGATGCCTTACAGACCGTTGATATACACGGGCAGCATAGCGACATAGAACTAACCTGAGTAGATAAACGTGGTTAATAGTGATCAATTTATAAAAAATATATTTACCATGCGTTAGTAATTAAATTACTTGTCAGTTGTCCTATTCTGCATAAAGGTAAATAAATCCAGCATAGTATTATTTATTTATATACGATGGTCATTGTTAGGGTCAATGACTCAAACTTTTACAGTGAATAAAAATAAATAAGAAAGACTAATTATTTTCTAATAATAAGTAATAACCATAGGTGATGATATGTTTATAATGTAATGTCATGTACCAGGGGGTGAATCCAGAAATTTTTTTTTTGGGAGAGGGGGAATTGTCTTTATACTTACGACTAAATTTCCTAAATTGTAACATAACACATGAAAATTTAGAGCAACAAAAGGTAAGCTTGGCACCAGAAATATATAAAAGAAAAAATTGGATCCAAAATATTATATAGGTACATATTATACAAAAATACATAATACAATCCTAATTTTAGGGATTTAGTGTGATGGGGGGGGGGGGGTCGCCTCCTTCGCTCCCCCAGAATCCGGGCCCACCATGTACCTACATTAATTTTAAGAGCATTTATATCATGGGGCACATTATATCAGCTGCATATCCTGCGAACAAAGTCTGTGCACGCCTATGGTTAATACTATTAATATTCGAATAGTTGATACTCTATTTACTATTTATCTAATAGTCATTAATCATTACCATTATTATTATGAAATGTAATGATAGTACATATTTTATAAAATATTTACTTAAGAAATTTTGTGTTTATATTGTAATATAAAAAAATATTTTTTCTCGTACCCTTAATTTTTATAAAATTGCTTCTGACCATTTTTGGAACCAATTTAGAGTCGATAAAACGATTGTATAATAACCATGGAATTGGTGTAACAGTTACACACATTTTAAAATTAGGATTAAAAATGTGTACAAATGAAATAACAATCGTTGATACTAGTTTGGAGTCGGTGAGAGCAATACATGCCGATGGCGGTACTGGAGTAACGTTACCCCAGTACCGCCAAAGAAAAATTGATTTTCCAGAGTTTTGGGAGGTGTACAAATGTTTTAATTAGGATTACAAATGTGTACAAATGAAATAACAATCGTTGATACTAGTTTGGAGTCGGTGGGACCAATACAAGCCAATGGCGGTACTGGAGTAACGTTACCCCAGTACCGCCAAAGAAAAATTGATTTTCCAGAGTTTTGGGAGGTTTACAAATGTTTTAATTAGGATTACAAATGTGTACAAATGAAATAACAATCGTTGATACTAATTTGGAGTCAGTGGGACCAATACAAGCCGATGGCGGTACTGGCGTAACGTTACCCCAGTACCGCCAAAGGAAAATTGATTTTCCAGAGTTTGGGGAGGTGTACAAATGTTTTAATTAGGATTACAAATGTGTACAAATGAAATAACAATCGTTGATACTAATTTGGAGTCAGTGGGACCAATACAAGCCGATGGCGGTACTGGCGTAACGTTACCCCAGTACCGCCAAAGGAAAATTGATTTTCCAGAGTTTTGGGAGGTTTACAAATGTTTTAATTAGGATTACAAATGTGTACAAATGAAATAACAATCGTTGATACTAATTTGGAGTCAGTGGGACCAATACAAGCCGATGGCGGTACTGGCGTAACGTTACCCCAGTACCGCCAAAGGAAAATTGATTTTCCAGAGTTTGGGGAGGTGTACAAATGTTTTAATTAGGATTACAAATGTGTACAAATGAAATAACAATCGTTGATACTAATTTGGAGTCAGTGGGACCAATACAAGCCGATGGCGGTACTGGCGTAACGTTACCCCAGTACCGCCAAAGGAAAATTGATTTTCCAGAGTTTTGGGAGGTGTACAAATGTTTTAATTAGGATTACAAATGTGTACAAATGAAATAACAATCGTTGATACTAATTTGGAGTCAGTGGGACCAATACAAGCCGATGGCGGTACTGGCGTAACGTTACCCCAGTACCGCCAAAGGAAAATTGATTTTCCAGAGTTTGGGGAGGTGTACAAATGTTTTAATTAGGATTACAAATGTGTACAAATGAAATAACAATCGATAGGATACATTTTGACTTTGATTTTTAGTTTGGTGGTACTGGGGTAACGGACCTCATTATAATATGTAGTAATAATATGAGAAATTGATTATTCGTTGATTTTTAGTAAAACCGAATGGACTTGTATTGAAAATAATTTTTAAATAGTTAAGTTTCCAAATTGTTGTTTTTTAGAAACCTATTTCTATTTTATTTGGTACTGTTTAATTTATTTTGTCTTCGTTGCTAAAAAAAAATTGTCCAATTATCATAGAAATACATGTCAGCCAAATTAAAATATTATTCCATCTAACTAATCTTTACCGAAATTTGTGATATTATTATATTAACTATAATATTTAACTCTTATACGTTATATGTTTAATGACAAGGAAATCGATTAATTCCTCCACAGTCCACATTGCTTGGTTGGCTGGTGACAGACATGTTTCCTTATTCGTCTTCTACAATATTTAAATGCATTTAGGTATATGCACTTCCCTACACTTCTTGATTAGTTCCGATTTTTAATAACAACGGTGCGATCTGTAAGTCTGGATTTAATAGATATTACATCACAAATCACAATATCACGTACCTATATTTAACCTATATAATCTGATAAGTCAATTATATTCTCTATAAAAATCAACAAAAAACTATACTACCTATATAGGTACACAGATGGTTTCAATTAGAAACAAAACAATAAATAATAATTAACTATTCAATTTCCAACAAATTAATCGAGCAAATGCCCGGAAGGATTAATGACTACTCAAGTGTAAGCGACTTGTTGTAACTATATTGATGAAACTTAAGTTTCCCCTCATATATACGTCAATCGCATGCTTTAAACTAAAATTTAACGCGTAATAGCTACATATTATTGTACGACATTACCTCGGGAATTAAATATTCGTAATAATAATATATCCATAAACAGTATACACGCAAATAAAATTAGAATTTTGAAAATGTTGTAGTAATTTATTATTTGTAGTACGAAATATCACTCATAAGACTTCGCTGCACCAAGTTTGGTAAACACTGGTCGTACGAAGGTCGTAACTAATCTAATCAATCTTGATGTCTAAGAGCAAAATGTACGGTAAACTGAGTAAACTGAGTAAATTGTATTGAATTTGTAACTCCACGTAATTAAAACGAGTCTTCTCAGAATTATAGAAAACTTATGTTTCTCTGAAAATTCATTAACTATAAGCATCCATCTATCGACCATCCTAATTATTTAATAGTACCCATACCTATATCACCAGTAATATTACCTAAATTCTGTTTTTTGAAAACCTCTTTTTTATATTTTTAGTAATTCAATTTAAAATGTTTTAATATAATTTAATTTATTATATTATAATTAATTCACGAAACCAGATTAAATTGTTGGTATTCCTTCCTATAATACCCGAAGGTAGGCATTAACTAATTAAAATTTAATATTTAATTTGGTTGGTTAATTTTCTAATCAACTTAATACTTAAATAGTTAAAGAAAGCATCGTAACAATATATTATAAGCTTTAAGGTTTTTCCAATTAATTTTAAAAATAATACTTTATGTTAAACATGTATTTAAAATCAATTTTTACCAGTACATAATATACGATATAACTGTAGCCTGTACGTAATAATAACTATCACTAAATCAGTACATAATTTTAAGTAGAAATATAGAATTAATAATCAAACAAATTTTCATTGATTTAAAAATTGTGTTTGCACAAATGTGTATAGTAATAAACTAAGCAATCAAAACTTTTAGTGAGCAATAAGAAGGAATAGTAATAATGGATTTTTTTCATAAATTGAGTAAAATTTATATTTGTATCCATATTAACTATGAATTTTGTCTCGAGAAAATACAATATTATTATATTATTATGTTTTATAAATTATTAAAAATTTTTAACGAGCGTGTAAATATTATTATGTATTT